TCTTTCCCTTGAAGAAGAGTGTCAGAAAATACAATGTATAGGCATTTGTTGTTGTTTTACCCTTTCTGCAGTTTGATCTAGGATTCTGACTGTATTTTCCGTGCTATCCTCTACACTTCCCATCTTACAAAGCAGCTTGGGTTTTCAAATCCAGTGTAGTGTCCAGTGTCATTTGATAACAAAAAAACTGGGGAGGTTTTCAGAGATGAGGCAGTGTTCTGAATACTTGATCAGGTGTGATGAACTGACCGCAATCCCCATTCCCTTCTCCTGTGCTGCTCAGGGGAAGGAGGTAGAGAAAATCGGGAGTGAAGTTGAGTCCAGGAAGAAGGGAGGGCTGGGGGGAAGGTGGTTTAAGGTTTGGTTTTATTTTTCTTCACCCTACTCAGTTTCGATTGGTAATAAATTAAACTGATTTTCCCCAAGTCAAGTCTCTTTTGCCTGCAACGGTAATTGCTGAGTGATGTCCCTGTCCTTATTTCGACCCATGAGCTTTTCATTATATTTTCTCTCCTGTGTTCAGTTGAGAAGGGGAATGATAGAGCGGCTTTGGTGGGCACTTGGCATCCAGCCAGGGTCAAACCACCGCTCCCAGTCTTGCTAGGAGGGCATCCATGGGTTGGAGCCAGCTCAAGCCCGTTGCTCCCTTTAAAATTCTTTTGCTAGTTTTCTGTTTTTTACACATTACATTGTACTGAGCCACATACATACCTTCCCCTTGTTGGCCTGGCTAACTTGGGGAGACAGTCACACTGTTAATGAACATAGGGAGAAACCTTTATACCACCAGCTGATCCACTCAGCTGTTGACAGCTGTTTATCTAAAACAAAAGCCACCCTCAGGTCCCCTTGGTGTTGAGATCAAGTCAGCTTCTTTACAACAGCTGTTGTCAGTAAAACCCTGCATTATTGCCTGAGCTTCACGGGCACATAGCCCTGGCCCGTCTCCTCTGAGCCTTCTTCCATGGTATGAATTTACCAGTCAGTCACAGAGGACACACATAGAAGAAATGAATTGGTTTTTTGGTGTTTGGCTGCTTTGTATTGTTAGATGGGTTGGTATCTCCTTACCATGATCTTGATGCTTTTATGGCTCCCTTGTTATGTCAGAGGTTACATTTCTGAACATCTATTCCCAAGCTGATGTGCAGCAGTACTGTAGCCAACAAAGGCAGGAAACAAGATGAAAAAGGTAAGACCAGTTATTTAATTTCACAGAGAAGTGTGTGCTTAGGTCCTTTTTGTGATTTCTCTGTTGAAAATGGCAAGTATATGCAGTGAGTACAACTGGGTTTAGCAATATGGCTTAATTAGTCTGGTTCCAGGCTGAGGAAAAGACAAATGTGGGTCAGACTGAGTGATGAGGATCACAGTTCACAATGGCAGGGAAAAATGCTGAGTATAAGAGTAATTGTACTGCTTTGCAGTGCTTTAATTTTAACCTACCATTTTTTCAGCACCCTCCTTCATTGCCCTTTGCATCTTTCTCTTGTTTTGTTCATGCCCTCAGAACACTTCCAGCAATATGTACTACAGACATGTCAGTAGTCCCCTGCTTCCTTGGCGTTCAGTTCATATTACTATCCCATCCGCTTCCATATTCTTTTCATTGCAAAATTCTTAAGAAACCTGACTGCCAGCAAATTATCATTTTTAATTGTACCTGCATAGAATATTTCACAAAGCCCAGCACCAGAAGCAGTGTTTAAAGCACTACATCATTAAATCATGCCTACAGTGTTGTATGAGATGTTTGTAGAAGCAGGTATAATGGGGAAGAGACTGCAGTCATAAAGGAGGCTGCAAGAGAGGTCAGGAGGTTGCTTTTCCTAATCTTGTGCTTATTTTTTTAAAAATTATTGTATCTTTCAAAACTTAGCTGTACAGTGGTTTGCATTTTAAAGACAGCATGCTATGCACAGTTTGTTACCGTATCTTAATAATACTATATGATAAAATTGTTACTATATATTTAATACACAAAAACCTGGCAGGATATATTGGGTATAAAATGTGGTGTATATATGTTTCAGTAACCCACCTGCTGTTGTTCTTGCAGAAAATTTCATAGAAATTGTAGCTTCTAAGTTAAGAGATGTGACGCATTTTTTATTAATACCGTGCATCTAATTTCTTCTCTGAAAGAATTCGTATTTCCTTGGATGTAGAAGAGAGGTAGAGATGGTAGAGAAGCAAGTTGGTTGGCTTGTCTGATCCATTTTCAATCATTGCTCTCACATGTGTTGACCTTGCCTGTCCTGTTGACAGTTTGGGTGCATCAGCATTGCATAGTGGGTTTTTTCCTGGTGGAATTCAGTAGTAGCTGTACTAGATCAGTATAAAGTTTATGAACAGTACAGGTTGTCGATGAACTGTTTTCTCTGTATGAAGTAGTTCTGTGTGGGAGCTGTTGCTTAAAGGTTGAGACCAGTATGTGGTACAAACAGAAATCTTTGTGGTGTCTGTATTAATTTTTACAAACTATGGAGTTTTTGATCTGTTTCATAATCTTGTGTTATTAAGAGGCAGCCCACCTTGAACTATAAATGTCTGTTATGAATGTTAGTGATAGTAATTCTGCCTTGTCTATTACTGTTTGCTGAGGGGAGAAAAAAAGCAGTATGCCATATGGTTACCTCAATTCTCCTCTCTCTCTCTCTCAGTTGTCGTATCCCGTAGTGATTCAGTGCTGCAGAGTTACAGTCCTGACTGACCTGCTGCCTTCCAGCTGAGATTTTTAAATGGAATCTTTCCAACTTTAATACTTTGGATTATTAAATTTGAATTCTACATGTGAGCTTTTTTTTCCCAGAATGACCTTTTTGTTGACTGTAGCTCTTTGCTCAGATGTTTCCTTGTTTGTGTTACAACATCCAAAAATCCATGTTCCAGTTCCCACCCTGCTGTGTGCTATACAAACACACTGGGAAGCATGGTCTGTGGGAATGCTCACACCTTAAAGGAAGATGCAGCAATACTTTGTAACACCTTTTTTAAGGAACTGGGAGGAGAGCTTGGCTCTGCCAAGAATACACATCTACATTAGCTGTGTTTACCTTATTGTGTATTGCAGCGGTGGCTGGAGGCACCACTTGCATATGACTTACTGCTGTGTGCAGTGGGTAGGTACATGAAACTGAGGAGTATCCCAAGCAGCCCTCCTCTGTGTATGACAACTTCCTCTTATCTAGTCTGCCCTTTCAATAACTTACTTTTTTTTTTTTATTGTTTGATTCGTACTTGGAAACTGGACTGGTCCAATTTATGAAAGCAAAGGATAATTTTGGATAGTAAAAGATGCAACAAACTTTCCTTGTAATTAGTAAAGAAATCCTTTGGTTGCTTGGAGAAGAGAAACCCTATATTGAACTGGGAGACTGATGTAACTCGCGTCTTGGATACCCTTGTTTAGCAGGAGCAGCCAGGCCATGCAGTGGTGTTGCTATAAAACTAGACACAACTCATGCTGTTTCTTACCCAGTTTGGGGTGTGCTAGGGGACATGAAGAAGAGCTGAGCTGACTGCAGTGTGGGAAGAGGACAAAGATAAATCCATAGGAAGTCTGCCTTGTTAGTTCCACTGTTCAGAGAACAAGTTGTTTTTCATTGAGATTTTTGAATTAGCGGTGTCCTTTTATATTACAGCACCATGTGTATGGACATTATTGGTCTGGTATTTAATTAAAACCACAGCTGGTGATCATTTAATTATACTGTACGAAAGGCAATGCTACTTACTTGACTATGTAGCGTTGTTTTATTCGATTTAGAGAATTGTAGCCATCTTTTCATGTATTATTTGAAAGCTGTGGTGAAGAGTACAAGATCTGATGAACAAACTGGTGAGCTTCATTGCAACACTTCTCCTCTGTTAAGGGAATAAGGTGAAACAGTGGCTTATAAATTCCCTGGCCTTCCTGAAAATTGGAAGTCAATTATGAACAGATGGGTACAATTAGTCTGGTTCTTGTTTCTCCACACTGTAAACCCAGTGCATAGTTTCCTGTGGTAGGAAGGAAGGCCTTCTGCTGAAGGCCAAGAATACTTAAAGATATTCAGGGTGTTTCTGGGTTTATTAAGAGATTTCGGTGTACATACTTGAAAGAAGCTATGTAGCATATGCCCGTAGCAGGCCTGAATTACTGGTTTTTCACTTGAAAAATGAGGCTGCCTCAAGAATCTTAAACCTACTGCAACATAAAATTTGTATGTGTATATTTGTACTGAAATGAATAACTGCATGTAAGACATTTTTGCAGCTGACATAATAAAAATGCTTTTGACAGAACTTAGAAATGAGGATGTCCACAGCTTCTAGCATAACTAGTTACACTGCACTTAAAACTGCAGAATTCACATCTAAAAATCTTATAAAATTATGTTCTCTGTCTTGAAGCCAGAGGTGGCCTTTTCTATAACAATGGGAATACTGTATGTGAAGGAGCTGTTGCCGAATGATCTAGTCTCTACGCTGTCATACAGCTACTTTCACACGTCAGTATGTGAAAACACCTATGGTTTTGCTGGCTACCAGTATTGTAAGGGTAAAACTGATTCCAAAATAAGATTCATTAGCAGATTGACTGGAAACGGAACAAGAAAAATAACTTAAAAGTGACCCTCCCAATAAAATGTCAGAGTAAAGGACTGAAACTAGCTGGAGGACTAGAAACAGGGTTTGTGTTTCAGTCTGAATCTTGGCAGCAGAGCAGTGTTTGCTGTGTTACTTGGTCCAGTGTGAAAGGTCACTTTTGTTTTCTCACCCAGTACAACTTGGAGTTGTTTCTTTACTACTACAAAGAAAGTCTTCAGTACTAGTGGCTAGTTTTCCTCCTGGACTTTTGAGTTGTAGTTGTCAATACTGAGTGTTGAATTCTAGCTGGTGCCTTCAGTGTAACAATGAATGGGATATTTAAGGGCAAGAAGAGTGTGAATACGTTACAAGTATAGAATTCTTTTAAGAATTGTTCTTGATTTCTAAGTTACGTAGCTAACGTAATTTAGATGATGTTAGTTATCCTAGTCTGCTCTGTATTTCCACATGCTATCAGTTAAATGTAGAATGCATCTTTCATCAAAGGGATCTACTGCAGAAAGGAAAACAGTTCAGGTTCTTCATGTGTGGCTTCAGCAGATTAGAATCATTGAAACTCACTGACGTGGGACCAAGGAGAACAACAACTACAAAGCAGTAGCTCAAAGTGGAGTAATCCTTAGCTGCAAAATAAAACCAAATCCTATGCATGGAGTTAACTGCCTTCACCAAACCGATAACCTCTATATGTCTGAAGGCATCAAAACATGATACACCTTCTTTTATAATACAAATCGGAGTCAACATTTAATGTAAGGTTTTATAACACAAGACTCAAGCTACTTCCTATTAAACTAACATTAGAACTAATCTACACAATTTCCAGCTGAATTATACTTCATTGTATTTATCCTTATAATGTGTTTTCTGATGAATAAATTTGTGTGTATTAACTACTGCAGAAAGCCACAGATATTGTAGCTGCTGTATGATACTATGTCTTCATTCAAATGCTATTGCTACATGGCTTGTGTATTAGTTAATTTGTTTCTTTCCTTTTGTCTTCTAGCTTCATTTAGCAGCCCTGGCTTCATTAAAGGGAGATATAGCGGAGCTTAATAAACGTCTACAACAAACAGAAAGGGAGCGTGACCTGTTGGAAAAGAAATTGGCAAAAGCACAGGTGAGCAATAGTTCAAGATTCTGAAGATGGTCCTTGGTTTTGTGTTGTCCTTGTTCTTCAGAGAGGAATATGGTATGTGGGGAGAGGATAAAGTATCTGAACAATGTCACAAGTGAAAAGAATTTTAAGACTGCAAGAAACATAGTTGCTGTGGGTTTTAAGTTTTATGTGCTGATGACATTCTTCTAAAATATATCAAGAAAGAATTAGATTAGTTTTGTTTTGAAGCCAATATATATGGCGAATGCTTTTAGATATTTTAGAATATAAAAATTGCAGCATACTCGCAGTGGATTAGGTAACTGATTGCAGAGCCTTCCACTCCTGGGTCAGATTCAAACACAGCACAAATTAACACTGATCAAATGCTATTGCCAATTGGCAGTGCTTTGATGGTATATGATAAATGATTTGTGATCTCAGTGTAGCTTCTAGTAAGCCAGTTTGTATGTATCTGTTGTGGAAAACACAGTCAGTGGAAAGCCAAGGGATTAAATAAGAATAAGGTCTGAACTCCAATTCTTTCTCAGCTCTTAAAAAAATAAATCTTTTCAGATCAAGATAAATGTAAAGAGGCAAATGCAAACAGGGAAAACTGAACTGTTCTTAATATTTCTCTGTTCTTTGTTTTCAGATACTGTCATTCTGGCAAATACCTTTTATAAGTACTTTACATTTCAAAACTTATTTCAAAACATATATTCATTTATACTTGCATAGAAACAGTCAAGGCATTTTGTCCTGTAAAGTATAGCATCTTTTTTGTTGCCCAGAGAGGTTGTGGAATCTCCAACCTTGGAAGTACTCAAGCCACCTGGACCTGGTCTTGGCCAGCCTACTCCAGGTGACCCTCCTTGAGCTGGGTAAGGGGTTGGATGAATAACCTCTAGAGGACCCTGTCAACCTCAGCCTTTCTGTGATTTTGTGAATTTAGAGTCTTCGGTATTCAGTGCATTTTGGTAGGGGCTTGCATCTGTGTGTTACTTAAACTCAAGCCAAATGTAGAAGTGTTTAAGCGGTCTAGATTTTAAGGCTCTCACTTCAGTCCTCCAACCGTATTCTGGCCCTTGCCCAGATTCCCTGATGTTTTTTCAGCTACTGTTAAGGTTTGGGGGCTTGTAAGTGATACTGTTATTGCAGACTATCGGTGCAACATCCAGAAATAAAAAACAGTTTCATGTTTTTATTCTCCTCGATAAGTGAGCCAGAGCCATGCTGGGAGTTAACATTGTTCATCAGCTGTAATCCTGAGAGCCTTTTCTAATTTCTACTGCAGTCTGAGATAGAGTCCTCTTTCTGACATACAGTTTGATACGAGGCTGCATTTGACAATCATTAAACAGTCAGATGGATCCGCTGTATCCAAATAATCCACATCATTCTGCATGACTACAATGACTTCGTTGTCATTTATAACTCTGCAGGGTCTTGTGCTAACCACAAGTTTTTATTACTGTTTTAGTTTTATTTCCAGATCTTTGTTTAAAAATATATCTGTCATCCTTCAGCCAATGAAGAGCGCCTTGTAGGTGCTCCTGCACAGTAATGAATGCCCATTGATGGTGACTGGGATTAAGGATCAGTCCTTAATCCCAATTAACATGTGCTCTGTTAACATGAGATTGTTCAGTGTTTTCTTTGATCGGTTACCAATTACGCACATGTATGTAGTGCTCAGTTGGTAATGCTGAGGGTTTTTACATGATCTTGGGCTGTGTGCTTTTGAACACAAGTGTAGTGAGGACTGCTACCCGAACTGTGAATAACACAAAATCAGAATATCTGAAAGCTAGTAGGCTGGCTAGCTTTCAGGTAAAAAAAATCACTTTTTGATGAACAATTTCTGTAAAATCTTAGTGTTTTAGCTCTCTTCAATTTTTTCTTTTAAAAAAAACCTCAAGTGGATAGAATCTTTTTGGGGTGTGTATTAAATAAAATACAATCTTTTGTAAGGAGTAAGCCATTAAACAAACACAACTCATATATTGAATGTGTTGGCTATGTTTATGTACTGAGGCAGACTCTGGTAAAACCAGTTTACCTTTTCTTCTTTTTCTAACTGCATCACCTTCAAGTAGATGCTCCACTTCACATAATTTTTTGAACTTTTCCTCCCACTCCACAGAGATTCATCCAAATTTGTATCATGTCATAGCATTTTTCCTCTACAACCTCTGTCTAATGCATTTCTTCCTCACTAATGTGAATCAGAGGTTCAGAAGGCATAAATTAAATAAGAGGTGTTTGAGGTTCTGCGTAACCATATTCAGATGCTAGTGGGTCAGTATTAAATCTCTGTTCTGCATCTGGACTATACTTAAAAAGGCAGCACATGTTTCATTTCAGCTGGCACAGTAAATGCTCTCTGGAACAAATAGCTCTTGAAACACATTTTTTGTAATACCTTTCCTATCATTTCATGAGGCATGTGAGACACTTTGGAAGAAAGGATTAGTGATTTGCAGAGGGAAGGTGATTTGGGGAACCACAGTTCAAGTAATAGATGACAAATGGTGAAGAAAGAAAGTTGGATAGCCTGTGCTTAAAATTTTGTAAAAGGACGTAATTGATTACTGGTTGTCGTATCCTGCTTATTTCCAAAACTGCAGTCTGTGGAGACCTGCTATAGCATTTGCGTACACCCTTCTATTATTTCTGTAAGACAGCAGTTCTCCTTGTCTCTATGTTTGTATTGGTGTACAATGTGGCAACAGAGTGATCTCTTGAATGAAATTTGCTGTAAAGTACTGGTCAACCACAACTAATGTCTTCTTCCAAAAATCTTTCTGTGGTTGTGAGAAGAAAAGTAGTGCTTTCTGCTGGCTCTGTCTGGCATGGTATCCTGTCTTTGGTAATGATAAATAGTGGATGTCTGAAGGGAGAGCATAAGAAACGCATGTAGAGAGTTGTCCTCCTTCATACTCCCCCACCTTTCTGCCAACATCTGTGAGCAGGAGGCTACATCACATTTAATAGTCCTCTGTGGTCCTATCCTCCATGGATTTATCTAATCTTCTTTCTAATCCGTCTACATTCTTGGCATTTCCTACATCCTGTGACATTGAGTTCTGCAGTTTTATGATAGAATATGGGATTTAATAGCATGCTGAACATTTCAGCAAATACAACAAGAACAGACAATCCACTTACAACATCTTTCATATCATTTCATCTCCTTTCACAGGTCAGTCCTGCTCTCTCATTCTTTGTGCTTTGTAATTTGGGGATTTTGTAATAGCTCTAGATACAGGGTAACAAAGACTGTGCTGCATCATTCTGTATCTCGTATCACACAGCAGTAAGTCCCATTACTGCAGCAGTAGTTCTTTACCATCCTCTCAATTATTCAGAATATAGGGAGGGACAGCAGAATTTCGGTATAAGAATAAAACCAACACTCTGTAGGCATATAAGAACATGTGAACTTCACAGGAAGGCTTCAGCTTCTCATTTAACAAATTAACTTGAGATAGAAATGCATGGTGTTCAGATGAACATTGAAATGACTTGTTCTGTTGTGTGATGTCCTTACCTGACATGGATACGTCCTGTGTACTTGTATTCTTCTTCCACATCAAGTATACACAGAATGTACCACCAAACAATTCATTCTGGCCATGCATGTTTTTGTGATTGAGGATTTGGCGCGATGGACTTGTGTTTATACTTAAAATTAGATTAATGGATTGCCACTTTAAAATCTGCCACTCCTCTTAAATTAAAATACTGTATTAGTTGAGCAAAGCTCCTGTGAGCCTGTTAGGCAGGTTTATCATTGTGGTTCGTTCAGGTGATGACTTGTATTCTTGGTGAACAATGCCATAGCCAGTGTTTGTCTCTGCAGGACCTGAGGCACTGGGGGATCTCGTAGCAGGCACTGCTGCTGGTGGTTCTTTTTTTGTCCTCTGACTGAACACTGCAAATTTAACATGAAGGTTTGCACTGATAGGATTTCGTGCGCTAGGAATTTGTGTACATTAGTAGGCGGTAGAATTATGTGTTGAGACAATATCCTTGGGTTAAAATACTTTCTGTTATCATCGTTCTCCCTCATACTCTTCTTGCTCTTGTGGTTGTTTCCCAGCATCAAGAGCTCAGACAAAGGTATTTCCAGGCATTGTTAATTTATACTGTAATTGAAATAACCTTTTCAGTCTGTACCAAAAACCAGCCAAGGGTCACTTACACTGAGAACCGTGCTGGAAACTTCTCTTCGGACCTCAACAATTGCTCATCTTTTGCAGCCTCTCAGTGGATTATCCCTCTGTTTGCTTTCTTGGGGAATTAGAGCTCTTCATGGTTTTGATCAGAACTTAAGTATGAGGCTAGAAGAGGGATGAGGAAAAGGATGGAAGGTATTTATCTTAAAAAGTTTGTGTGACTGACATGCAAATCAATTGTAAGAGCTGATTGTGTAGACCTTGGAAAGAAAGGCAGATCATTGTTCTGAGGCTCAAAGGACACAGAAACTAAAGAGGATGATGAACAGGTGTAGTGCCCCAGAAGAAAACTTTAGCAATGGGTACCAAAACATGCATTTGTTTCTTTTCCCTTTTAAGCTTTGAGATGAATGTGCCATAATAAGGAGCAATCCTGTATAACCAGAAGAATTTTCCATTGCTGCAATTTGGGATTCATACTGAATTATGTTTCCATTGTTTGGATGCTTTTGCCTTTTTTAGTTGAGACTTGTCATGGCTGACCAGAACTTACGAGATGTAAATCTGTACCCACCTCCGAGGCACAGCAGTCCTTCTTAGCATCATGTCCTGTCTTTCACAGAGGTTTCCTTTCTGCCTTTTCTGGTTACATTTGCCCAAGACAATCCAAGAGCCCTTTAAAAAATCAATTGTGAAGCTGTTGTCTTATATTGCCAGACTGCTGGTTGTTCACAGAGTATGTCTGTCACTAAATGATGGTTATCCTGAAAAATGGTGACTGAGAAATGGCTGGAGAAAACAGAAAGCAAGTCTGGTAATGTGGCTAAGGTCCATTAGCAAGAGTCCATATATCTTCAGTCAAGATAAACAAATTCTGCTTTTCAGTGCACAGCTTAGAAAGACAAAAATTGTTGTGATAGGGTTTTTATTTATTGTCTGAAAATAATTATTGCACACTCCATCTGAAACGTCCTTTTGGTTTAAAAAAAAAACCAGTGCACATACTTGATTGATCTGGACAATGCTTAGGTGGCATTTGTGGGTATCAGTGTGTGTCAGAGGAAATTTAGGTTTAAAAAGGCAGAATAAGCAACACTCTTTATTGCATTTAAATCTGTTCTAAAGCTTTTGTTAAACATTTTCTCTGTGTTATTTCTGCACTTTGAAAGCCATGGTAGGTCTTCAGCCAGATACAATGTCAAGATATGGAAATGTGAGAAATAAATTGTGGAATGATCCTACAGTAAAGAGTCATTATAATATACATGTATAACTATGTCAGTTGCCAACATGAAGTCTTAAAAGCCAAGTGAACATTATCAGTCTTCTAAAATGTGACCTTTTGCTCTCCTCTTCAGTGTGAAGATATGGTCTGTTTGTCTCAGTGTAGGTGAAAGTGCTTTTGACTCCAGCAGGAGTAAGAAACTACTTTGTTGTAGTCTGTGGAAGGGTGCTCTAATGTCTGGGCTACCTTCCAATGTGCATATTCCTGGAACTTAAAAATACTGAAATAAATGTCACTTAAAATTTAAAAGAAAAATGTTATTGAAGTTCAATGTAGATTTTAGTTTTCAAGCAGCCTGTTACATAGATGATGTTCACAACCTGTGAATGTGAGTGGCCAAAAAATATGAGGGCAAACTATGAAATTCTGGCTTACCTGCTAGTTTGGGTATAATTTTTGTATTTATGATACAAAGGGTTGAGGGAGTTACCTCTGTGTAGAGTGTTTATTTGATTTGAAAAAAAAAGTTTTGAAGCAGCAGTGTTGGAGGACCTTATACATATTACTGTAAGTGGTAGCCTTTAGAAATGCTACTAGGATCTTACATTGCAGGTCTTCAGTTAATGAGTGTGGGTTTTATACTGTCAGTTGACTTGTGAATTTTCTTTTATTTGCAGCATAGTACATACCATTCTGTGGTTGCAAGGAAGCTTGACTGTTTCCTGCAGGGGTCAGAAGCGAAAAGTTAGAAGTCTTGCTCTTTCCAGCCACTACCAAGCATAACTTCAATCAGCGTGCACTGTTGGATTGTAATTGCAGTAGATTGTAATTGTTTGCTGTAATTGAAGTAGAGTGTTTGCTGGCGTGAAGAGTAAGCCAGAGAGGCTGGATTTAAAATTCTATTGGAGAGCAAAAGGAGGATTTTGTGATACGTATAAAAAACAAGCAGCCATGTGGCCTTTTAATTGTTCAAATAATAAGCATTTTACTGTAGAGGATGAAAATAATAAAAAGTATGCTATGTTATCTTTAAAGGCTAATAAAAACAAATACTAGAGAAGAAGTCGTAACCTCAGTGTCTGGTTATTTTTCTTTGTAATAATGTGATCTCTGCCTTAGGACTTGTTCTAATTCAGACCACGTTGGGAAGATCCTTGAAGTTTCATGATGTATCATGAATCTCTCAGATTCAAAGATGAGATATTTACAGCTATTTTGAGTTGCAAATGGTGTTTTTTGTTCAAGCAGGAAGGGCAACTTCTGCCCTGTAGAAAAAAATAATAGTAAAAGTACACTGCATAGTCTTTCAGGTCCTAAAATCTTGTAATTACATACCTTTGTGTACCTGTCAATATTTTGCAATTGTCCTTTTCTCTTGCTAAGGCACTGTTGGTTTGATGAGTAAGAAAACCATTAATGGTGTGCACTTTTGCCTTGTATCTGATCTCTATGCAGTTATTCATAAGTCCCTTTCTGTTCCTTGCTTCTCTGCTTTAGTGTGAACAATCCCACCTAATGAGAGAGCACGAAGACGTGCAGGAGCGAACAACACTACGCTACGAGGAACGAATCACAGAGTTGCACAGTATCATTGCCGAATTAAATAAGAAAATTGATCGACTACAGGGAACAACAATAAGGTACAGCAACTTCCTGGAAATTCTGGGCCAATACAAGAATGGTGCAAAACATGGGGTGAATTATACTCTAAATATAATTTGATGACTTCAAGGTAGTTAGGCTTGTTATGACTGGTACTGACTAGCTGCCCATAATTAAGGTATGTGTTCTGCAGGGTATCATCCTGAGGCTCAAAAGTGCTAAGTTCTCTCTGGCAAAATCACACTTCACAAAGCCTAACGAGCACTGCAAAGAACTGCACTGTGCCATCTAAATATTCCTTCAGTGTAACATATGTGCCGGGTACCAGACAAGTGATAGCAGTGGTGGATAAAGGAAGATGTAGCCACCCAGCCTGCATGTCTGCTTTTAACTTTAGTTTGTAGCATCCTTTAGATCACCTAAGCCAATTCACTTGTGGTGATAAATGTGGCTCAAATGGATTTCAGTGGGTTTTGCATCTACTTGTACTGGTATTTGTGACAAAACATAATGGTACAAATCACATTGTTGCCTGTCCTTGGAGCAGAAAGCTTGGGGTATTACACTAGGTCACTACTTGTTTCTGTGTTAAAATAAACTTTACATTTGACTACAGGAAAACACTTATATTCCCTCACTTGCTTTCACCCATTATTCTCAATCTAGAGAAAGCTGGACTAGAACAAAGAAGGAGCTTCTCAAAGTTCAGCTTGTGACGATGCAGCTGAACTACTAGAATCTATGTATTTTCTAGAGAACATCAAATTAAATTTGATACTTTTGTAGGTAATGTTGCCATGGTGCTCTACCCATGTAGCAAATTTTCAGTTTTCCTTGCTTATTAGCTACAGGTTTTTTGGTAACTGCTTCATTTTGTTCTTCCTTGTAAATGTTTCTACTAGCACAAGGCAGTGTTGTTACAACTAATCACTTAACCTTTCATGAAAATATTTATATGCAAGAAGAAAGAGGGTTGGTGTACCATAAATAAGAGAAAGTATAATCACGCACTCATATCACTATAAAAGCAGTGATAGAATCACATTATGTTAATGTTATTTAAGAAGATAAATACTACCAACTCTGAGATGATCATAACTAGTGATAATCATGGTGAGATTTTTCAGGTAAGTATTTTCTAAACTGGTAGTACTTCTCTGAAAAAATCCCTGTGACTCACTTGTTCATTCATGCTTGATACCTTTGCAGACAAACTTCCCATTCATCTTGTTTCAAGTCACCTTTCTTTTCAGCACGATGCTGGCTGCCCATCCCACCTTCCTCTCTGGTAAAGCTCTCTGGTAAAGCTCTACCAATTGAAAAGACTGGTTGAAAAGAAAAATCTGAGAACCATGAGAGCTGCATTGATTTTTTTTTTCTTGAATGGCAGAAGAACTCTATGACACTTTAAAAAAACATTACACAGAATCCATAAAAACTGTTTGGAGTCCCTGTGGCAAGCTAAATGCAAAGTGGTGTTCAGTTACAAAATATTGGAATCAGGTGGATACTGTGAATGTTTAACCATGTCCATAAACAAATCAGCTGTGGCATGCACAGGAAAGTGAGGCATAAGAACCCGAACTTGATGGGAAGTGCGTGCTGCTTCTCATGAAAAGTGCAGTTTTGCTGCCCCTTTGGGGGGGTGCGGCTTTTGAAGGCATCAGAACAGTACTGCTGCAACACGTACCACACCACTGTCATGCCCCACCTGTTTGGTCTTAACGTATGAGAGGTCGTTTTGCTCAGACAGCTAGGATGCGTCCTCTGTTTTTATTTGTTCCAGTTTTATTACTAAGAACAAAAATGTTTATTAAGTTAGTGGATTTTTTTATTTAATGATTGGAATAGCTTGTTTTCTTTGGCAGGCCAATAATTTGGTGTCTGGCGAACAGAGGAGTAACATTCCTCCTAAACATGGCAAACAGAGGTAGAATTGGAGGGATGCCATAGGGTTTCTGAAGACAACTGAAAGAGGGAAAACTGATACTTCCTGCTGTGCCTTTCTGTAAATCCGCTCTGGGATCTACTTGCGTCACTCTTGAGAAGCTGCTCCATCCCACAGAGCAAGGGTGGTGTAACTGCTGTCCTTGCTGGGGCAGGTGTGACTCACAGCTCTCCACCCTTGGCTATGGGGACTCTGAGCCCTGGAGCTGGAACAAAACAGTCCTGAGGGAAAGGGTTCTGGGAGCATGGCCCTGCAAGGGCCTCAGCATTTATACTTTCCTCTAAACCAGAACACATGAGGGATTTTAGTTTTGATTTGACTCTTGGGTACTTGCAAGTAATACTGAGTGGAGGCTTTACTTGTGCTATCACAAAATTTAGGCTTTCTGGAAATGGTTTTCTTGAGTTTATGTTACTTGCATAACAGATAAATGTTTCCCCAGTACTGACACAGAGATTGCTCAGTATTTTCATATATCATTTTTAGGCTGTAAAAATAAACTAACATGTAGCTTGATGTATTGCTGCTTTATGAGATTCTTCATGGTTCCTTCCAAAACCCAAAAATATTCTGGAAACAATTAGAAGAAACCAGAGTTTTATGGAGGGTGTTTGACTATCCTCCTTAAGCTGTGTTATCTTTAAATTTGTAGCTTTCTGTTTGAATGTGAGTAGTACCCTCAGAAAGTAGGGCAGAAAATGTGTTTAAATCTGAATAAGGTATTGCAACAGTTTGAGGAGTGTTGGCAGGCTGTATAAGCTAGTTAATATTCTCCATTCCGAGAATTTTTCTCTCTTTGTTTTTTGGTGGTTTTGGGGTTTCTTTCCCCTTGCAATGTCAGGGGTTTTACACAGTTTGAAGTGTAATGGCTTTTGTTCATGTGGTTTAGTAATTCCAGCTCTAGAAGAGAGCTTAAGTCATGTGTCAATGGCTGTGCCTCTCCCCAGGTATATCTGATATGCTGATCTTAGTAATCTTACAGGAGTATTTTTAGAAGTTTCCAGGATTGTTCTAGGTTTGCTAGCCATTGCTTGGGTACAACAAGTTCCATGTGTGTGGCCACATGGTTAGCTGCTGCTCTTGCACTACGTTCTTCCAGCATTCCCTAAGGAAAATGAGGTCACCATGGTTGTGGAAGCAAGCCAACATTCATCTGCAATTGTCTCATCTCCCTGCTGCTGCTCTGGACAGCCCAGCTGGCCCAACCTCACCAAAAAAAAGCTGCAATACAGCTGTAACTGGTTCGATATTAAGGCTAAAAAGAGAGTTGACTGCACTCATGCTGTGCAAGTAGACGAGCCTCTTGCTCACCTAGTTCATTGTGTGACAGTGCAGAATTTACTGACTACCAGCTCAAGAAGGTAGCAATTTGGGAGCAACAAGACACTAAAGAAGTGGTCAACTAGGATGATGATGCTTTTTTTATTTGAGCAGTCTGGTGACATAAACCTTGGCTCTGTTTTTTCTTGGAGAGTTATAATTGTGTAACAGTGTCTCACTGTTTTTCTCTATGTTATTAGGGAGAGAGTGTGAGGAGGTGGCTAGTATTTTGCTTAAGTTCATTGTAAAGCTCAAGTCACAGGCTTTTGTTAAATTCTGAAAGACTGTTGCACAGAAGAGCCTATGATGACTGTGCAGAGCACGTTTTGTCAGCTTCTTATAGACTGAACAGCTTTCACTGAGTGGTGCTAGCTTGGGGTTCCTGTTAGCTTGTCAAATGGATGCCAGTGGCAGTGTTACCCCTACTTCCGCTGTTTCAATTTGTAGAAGACAATTTTTTTGCATTGCAAAGGCTCTCTGTCCTTTGACAAGATGTATGCCTACTCCCATTTTTTCTCCAAGTATGTACAACTTAGAATACAGCAAACCCAATCAAATGGATCTTCCCATTTGTAGAGTCATATTGTAAATACTTGGACATAAAGGATACAACTGGTAACTCTGAAGCACAGAAAGGATTTACAAATTAGACAGTAGTATACTAGAAGGTAATTATGTCTGCGTTAAAGGTGAATATTCCTGGCTTCAGAAGGTTTTAGCATTGCCTTACATTCATTCAAACTCAGCTCTTTTTTTCTTAATCATGTCTTTGGCTGGCAAAATCATCTGTAACTTGGTTGTGCAGAAAAAATGTCGGCCTGTGACTGACAGTCTTTCTTAGATGTCAAATTCAGTTTCAGCAAAAGGAATAAGGAAGAAATCAAATTGCTTTTAGTTCTAAACCAGTGGCTGACTGCGTACATCTGTGCAACTCTAAAAATAATAAGCAACTTTCAAAATACCAGACAGGTATACTCTGTTGAATATTGGTGCCTGCTAAGGATTATTTGAAACAGTTGTCAAGAAGCTTGTAACCCACTGCTGTAAAATCATTTGTTCAGACTTACAGCTTTTGATCTGAAATGTATTCAGAAAGTAGGTTTTGTTGGAGTTAATGTGGAAGAAGGAGAGTGAATAGACTACAGCATCACAAGAAATAACACATGGCACTTATATTTACACAATGACCTGGAGGTCTGATTCTAGCTTCTAAATATGTGCTAGATGGAACCTGCTTGGATTCGATTCAAATGGCAGTGTAGGTGTAATAGTGTTGGGTTCAGCATACAGGGCCCAGGCCACATGCCTTCAGTGCTCAGTTCCCACGTTGTCTCAAGTGTGTTGCTATTTGTTCACAAGTCAGCTTGAGGAACCTCAAGTGTGTATACACAGGGAGCAGTCAATCTCTGGGCTGCAGTGCCCATAGATCTGTAGTATTTTCTGTCTGAGGTTCTTAGAATGCTTTACAAATACTTGTTCAAGTAAAATGATTGTTGGAAAAACTGCTGGCACCTAAAGCGTGAAACTATGCACTGTTTGCAGCCATGAAGGGAATGTGTACCTTGCCAGCATCCTGGCAGAACTTGTCAGTGGTGTGAAAGGACGTTGAAAGTGTGCTGTTTTGCTCACTATTGATCAAGTTTTTCTCAGTGTCTGTGCAGCAGTTGTGATCCTTGGTTGCACCCAAATGTGAGGAAAGCAGTAAGTGCAGACATACCTGTAAAACACGCTTTTTTGCTCCAACATTGATCCCAGGCTGCTCTGTGTTTAGAACAGCTTGATCTGATCTTAATTGCCTCCAACTCACCATGCCATTCCAGCAGCTGGGAATCATCAGGGCTCATAGGAGAACAAGTATCTGCTTTCTCCAGCCAGGCCCTAGATGATGGTAGCAGCAAGGAAGTGGTAATGCCTCCACTTTCTGGGTGGTGTGGCAGGACATCAGTGGCTAGTCATCAGCTGTTGAGCGCCTTGCACTTCCAGTGCCACTGGAGGACTCTTCTCCTGCTTTGGGGAAAGGGGAGTCTCAAACAGTATCTTCTGTTACTGCCAGCTTCAGTTTTAAAGGCAGAGTTTATATTTGTGGTGCACAGCTCCCCTCGAATTCCCCCTTGTGTTTTCAGCCCTTAGTCTGCCCCCTGTGAAGCTGGTGGTGGAGAGGCCGATTGACCTTGCTGTCACTTTACCAGAAATGGATTTCTGATCTTTCTGGTCAAGTCTTAGAAACATTAGTTCGTTCAGAAACTGACTTCTGGCTTGAGCTGTCAGAAGGGTGTCAGTCCTGCCGCATTATATACTTCTCAACTTCCCCAAGATACGAGGGTGCTTAAACTGAAAAAAAACATCACTAGTGCTAGCTAGGTGAAGCTGTGTTAGATTTTAAACAGAAAATCTATGCAACAAGAGCCAAAAGAATAGTGGTGAGAAATTATTATTGTGTGTGGCATTGTATTATGATCAATACAGCCTCGTGTCCATTTGGGTAATTCAGGGTTTAAAAATGTAGGACTAATTGTTTCATAAATCAGAAAATGAATCACCTTCAGATCAAAAAAATGCAACTGTTTGACTGCTTGGTAATTATTTTTGTCTAAAGCTAATTACTACTGGCTTGTGCTGTGGCTAATAATAAATGAGTTCATGGAACATTAACTCACATTTATGTGTCTTCATTGCAGTGTTTTAATTCCTGCTATTCATGATTTAGTTCTCACACTTTCTTAAACGTATGTTGCATGGTACCTTAAAGATGTTTCTTTGATTTAAATCTCAGTTTTAACCAGCTGACCTGCATTTTTGTTTAATAATAGTCACTGAGTGCTTCTGATAAGTCAGACTTTCTTTGCACTGAAGCAAATGTAAGGGGTAGAAGAGCATAATAGTTCCTGCAGAAATTACATCTCAGTACCTTGGGAAACCCTGCTTGGCAAGCAAGCTGAAATTCCTTTTTTGAGTTGGCCTGGTTCATAAATTGTCACCTCTCTTACTTTGAGGGCACACTTTACTTCTGTCATTTTTCCCTGTATGTATGGGCCATCTTCTGTGCTATTTCACCTGGCAAATCCAGACACTTCTCCAGGCTAAATCCTGCAATATTTCTGCAAGAAACACTCATCACCTTGTAGCATACACACAGCAGACTTAACATTACAGGTGCCCCTCCCAGGTGCAGATCCCCAGATAGCTCTTTGCTATTTCTTATTGTTTCCAAATCCAGACAGTTCCATTCTCACACTTTTCTGCTGAATCTGCAGGAGAATGAATCTCTGCATTTGATTTAGTGTGTAACAAAATGATGGCTGTTTGCTTGCTTATCAGAGGGGCTGTGCACCTGGATGAGCTGTTGTTTTTCTCATGTTTAAAATACATACTTTAATGTCAAAACAGTTACTATGGAAGTAAAAAAAAAAATTCTGAGTTGAGTCAGCAAGTGGATCAAAAGTAAAAAATGTTTACAAAAGTTCTCAGGCAATTACTGATTTACTTATCTTCTTTCCCAGTGCTTTGAACTCTTCGTGTGGAGACAGGAGGGAAAAGCCCTAATTTTTTAAGCTCATTAGCCTTAGCTAAACTATTCTCTGTCCTCTATTATTTTAGTAGAACCAGCTTGACAAATAAGTTAAAACCTAGGTAAATGAGGCTTTTATTTTCCACTAACTCCAGCAGTTCAGGGCTATACTCACTTACCTGTTCTCTTCCTTTTGAGAAGAGAAAATGAAAAACCTACCTGTCCCTAAGAGCATTTTGATACACATATGCAGGTATGTGTATGTGCACGCTTACTTTGCACACAAGCTGATGGCATCCTCAAACTGAGAAAGAGACCAAAATTGGTTATTGCTAATCCACTTTGGGATCAAAAGCCACTTGTGCTGATGAAGAATTGTCAATTGGGGAGTTATTGCAGAGCAGTGTATGTCCTTGCACGCATCCTTGCTTGCACTCAGTTCCACCAACTGTTTCCTTGTACAGTGGTCTGGAGTAATAATGAACTTGGCAGTAAAGAATTGGAAACCAGGCACTGGCTGCTGTGAGTGGGTATTATGGGCATAGCACAGTTGCTTTCCGGTAAAGGGCATAGACCTTTCTCTAGTGGCTGGACAAAACACTTACACTTGTATTGATTGTATCCTGTGGCTCAGCTTACAGGTCTGAAATAAGCGTCACAGATCTCCTCAGAGGATTTTATTTCTGCCTTTGCTCTCTTTCCCAGGGAGGAAGATGAGTATTCAGAGCTGCGGTCAGAGCTCAGCCAAAGCCAGCATGAGGTTAACGAAGACTCACGCAGCATGGACCAGAATTCTGTTTCGGTACCAGAGAATCAGTCCACCATGGTCACTGCAGATGTGGGTGAGTTATGCTTCGTAGTAGACATGATGCCTTCTCACAGCAGAAAGGCATCATATCCTTTGAAATGCAACTCCAAACATTTGGTGAGGAAATAAATGAATCTAGGCTATGTTAATCGCAGCAAATGATGAAATTCTCCACAACTCTGAACTTATATGTGAAGTAACCTCTGTGCCTTGATGTAGAATAGCTATGGAGTCTAAAATGGAATGATTGTTCCGGAGAGCTCATGACTTCTGGGAAAGAAGAGGGTGAAAAAAGCTATTCCTGTACCTTACATGTGCCTGTAAAGTAGTCTAACTCTAAGAAAGAATTGCAGACAGAGTAAAAGTTGGGGGGAAAAGCGTGGGGAGTGGAACTGTCTGTCCAGTTCTTTTACAGCCTAATTATAAAGGGTGTCTGGACTTTTTGAAAATTGAGAGCCTTTTAGAGTATGGAATAGGGATAGCTTCCTGAAATGGATTTAGACAAAGATAAATTTGACACAAGCCGTTCAAATACAGTGCAGAGAGGAAGCACCTCCAGACAGTCTGTAACTGATTTTTTCTGGTTAAGAACTAAGAGGGCAAGAATCTTTCCTTCAGAATTTCATCTATTTTGTCATCCAAGCACAATTACTGATCATTTGAAGAACCTCCAAGTATGGAATAACTACTCCATAAAGTTTGCAATATAAGCATAAGCAGATACTAGGCCTTCAGTACAGTAAGGTTTTAAGTGTTTGGGCACAGTTGCTGAGCACCATAGCTGTGGACTAGCACAAGTCTGGTGTGATCCTCACTATGACTGATTTCTAGAGTTCTCTTCAGAATACTATTTCTCTTAATCTATATTTAAAACCAAATAGTTGGTCTTCATTTTCTTCCCTAGGTAAACTAGCTGGGTGCCTGTGAGCTTCTGTGGGTGATACTGTACACAAGCAGTGTTTTAGGAAGTAATTGAAATAGTAGTCTTAAGCCCTGTTGCAGAACTTGTGATCTTTAAATATTAAGCTATTAACTCTACATGAGGTTTTGATGGTTATAACGCAACATGCAATATTTGCTTCCATACCTAAGAAAGTGTATTAAAACAGTTTCCACTTGTTTGGAGCAGTGCACTTCATTATTGAGAACTTTTTGCCATTTTTTTCAGTACAATGCCTTTTAGAGGAATGGACCTGAGAGTAGGCTGACTTTTGGGCATAGTATTCATTGCCCTCAAGTGGAGTTTAATAATGTAGAAAATATGTTGATCTGGTAAGCAGACATATAAAAGAGATTTTCTGTATGATTTCTTAAACTGAAGTGAATACATCAGCTCTGGAGCTGTATTTGTTTATAAATCCAAGACCCACCACAGCACATTTGTATTTCAGTGTCTTTAATTTCTAGAAACATTGATAGAACACTGTGAGTAATAATGTAATCACAAAGTGTCTTGACGTACAGAATTCAAAGTATACGTAAAATACACTATGGAGTCAAGATATTTTAGTAGAGGTTTTTATATTCTTAAAAAAATAATATTTTTACTTCCAAAAGTTAATGCTAATTATCAAGTTCCTGCTTGAACAGATTCTAACATGAGGACTTTTTTTTCCCTTTAATTTTCTTTCTTTTTTTTTCCCCTTTCTTTTGACAAAAAAAGCAAAATAATTTACTTTTCAGCATTTATTTTGGGATTAGGGCTTTGATTTTGTTTTTCATGGGGTGGAGCTGAAGCGGAGTTTGTGTACATTAACAGCAAGTTATCCTTTTAAGTTTCTGCTAACAGTGGGAAACATGGCAATAAAATGAAATATAGCCATGGACAAAATAAGAATGTTAACTCTAGGGATTCTTGCATTTTTTCCATGTTTTCCTTCTATACATAGGCTCTGTCCTTTTAGGGTTTTGTTTCCATATTCCTGTGACAATGAATCCTTTTGTGTGTTTGTGTGTCTGTGTACATACACATGCATATATATACAGAAATATGTATATATTTTTTATCCTAGATATAGATATATAAGAATAAAAAAATCATGGCTAATAACCATGTGCATGACCTTGTTTACTGCCCTAATGGAATGAGCATCAGTGACTTACTGAAAACAATAATATGTCATGATATACTAATGCACGTGGATATGCTGCTCTATTGCTACAGGCAATAAAGCACCAAGAGCTAAAACTATGAGTGCTCTCCAGTATGTCTTGCAGAGCTTGTGGTTGGGTTGTGCTGGTTTTCTCTGAGAAATGGTGTCCTCGTTATTGTAAACCCTTATTTTCTGGGGGAAATGTTATTGTAGAAACAAAATTCAGCATAGAAAGTCTTGTGAAGGTTGTTTAAATGAACAAAATGTCTCTTATAGAAGATGTTACCAAAACAAATAAATTCAAGCAAACAAAATAGAGGTTTTTACAATTAAGCTTCCTGCACGGTAGATGCTGCTCATAAGTGAGTGTTATTATAAAGGGATTTTTGGTGTTACTGCAACAGATGGGAGACTGCTAGTCAGGCACTAGTGAATATGACTTCAAAGGTAAAGTTTTGAGTGTATTGCCCATTCACATTTTTCATACAATACTGTGACATGATTCTAAACTCTTCTTTTTGGTCAGCAATAGGTTCATGTTTATGTGCATTAGGCTATGGAGTTAGGTTTGTGTTAATGAGTTTGCAGTTCTTTACTTAATGATAATCTCATCCCTTCATCCAACTGCTTTCAGTCTTCTCTTGCACAGAGGTATTTCAAGGCGGTCTACAATAATCTGGTGTCTCATGTCTGTTAAATTTCAGTTCAATGCCACGCTGCTTTGGTCCCCTATAAGAACCACAGCTATGAGGTTACTAGGGAATTCTGGCCATGGTGAAATGCTTGCAGCAGTAGTATAGAAATAACACCCTCCAGCAAGAATGCCTGCCACTGTTTTTAGTAAGGTGTAGGAACTGCTGGTGCACTGCTGTCTCATAGTGCACCACTTGTGTGCTATAATGTTGGCAGTTATTGCAAACTCTTAACTATAGTACGCCAGAAATACTAACTAGCACATGCAGGAGACAGCACAAGAGTGAATTCTACCACGTGTCTACCTTAGGAACTGCCACTGTCTGTCACCAGATGCAAGCCTAAGAAAAACAAAAATAATTTATGAAGTGAGTTAGCAAGGTACTGAGACCCACTTGTTTTCACAGACATGGAGAACGCTGTGGCAGTGTCCAAGGCACTAGAAGAGCTTTGCCTAAAGACAGAAAAGGAAGCGATTCTCTGCTGCATTTTGTAGTTAAAATAGCTTTGTTGTGTGTGCTGCTGATATGGTTGTAGTATGGAACACAGCAAAGAACCAGATGTGCTGTTGTGATCCCTGAATATTCTGCAGTTGCATTTGAAGAAGAAATAGCTATAAAAATGAAACATAGGCTCTAAGATAGTTGGTAGGGATCACCTCTGTAAACACCAGGATTTTTTAAATTGGGCAGTGCCTAAGTACAACCACAAAAATTCGTCTGAAAAATATCAAGTATTAATGTCAATGAAGGTACAAGGCAGAAAAAATGTTGAATTTACAGAGAAAAAACCTTTCAGGGTAATAAAATCAGGATAATAGTCCTGAATGGCAAAAGAGTAACAAAAAAAAAAAAATTGGCATAGTATGTGAGCGTGTGGTGTCTTAAAATGTTGTCCTTCAGAAAAGAGGTTTTTGAAGAAAGAATGAACACCTCAGATAAGTAGGGGGAGTGTTATTTGTCAGATGGGAGATAACTCGTGATTTCAGTTGGTGTGGTTATGGTATTTAAGCCTATCAGTTGGTGAGGAAAAAGTGGCAGATTGCAAGGACTTTCCTTGAACGGTATCAGCCCTAGCTGTTCTGCAACAGGCACTTCCTGGGTTAGAGTTTGTTTTTTCACTGAGTCACTAATTGTTGCGATACGTGTTTTCTTTTGTTTTGCTTTCTTTTAGATAACTGTAGTGACTTGAATTCAGAACTGCAAAGAGTGCTGACAGGTCTGGAAAATGTTGTCTGCGGGAGGAAGAAAAGCAGCTGCAGTTTATCCGTAGCAGAAGTGGATAGACATATTGAACAACTCACTACCGCCAGTGAACATTGTGATTTAGCCATTAAGGTAATGGTAACATTAGGTTCTAAATGCAGTGTGTACGCTGCCTGGGACACCTGGTCACTTCTGTAGTAATAGTACTTTACTTCCAAATGTGTCAAAGTACTTCACAGAAATCAGCTCCAGCTCACAGTGTGTGTTGGGTAAAAAGTAGTGCACCTGTTTTACACTGAATTCTCCAAGGCACACGAGGAGCTACTAACAGACTTTCAATCTCAAATCAGAAATGTATTTGTCTTATGCTCATTTCAGAGATAAGAGAAAAGGGGACACTCAGCAGTTAATTTACTTTCTGAAGGTTATCCAGTAAACAAGTTGTCACTTGCCCAAGGTCACACGGCTAGTCGTTGACTGGTAACTGAAAACACAGTATCTAATACTCGCTGAAAATTGAAGATAAAATGCCATGAACTATGCATAAGTTGTGACTTTGGTGTCTTAAAATACGAAGCTAGTATTTAACACAAAAGCATGTGTGGTGTATTAATTCTAATGGGGCAAGCCAGACACAGGAACAGATAATTCAACTGATACTTGTATGTCTTTGTTTTATTGTGCATGTAACAGAACAAGAAGAGGGATGCTTGATAGCACGTGTAATGAAGGGATTGCAATTCAGAACCTGAAAGTGAGGGCAACGTGGAGTATCTTCCTACATACAGGGGAAAAGCTGAACAAATTTTTTGTGTCAGGCCTCAGTGACTCATTTGTATAAGAACAAGTATGTTGACAGTTGGCTCTTGAAGGGAGGAGGTCTGTGACCATTCTAGACTGCTTAGACAGCCCTTTGGCATACCACTGGGAAAGGTCCCGTCCGTCCCTGGTGGTGCCTGAGGAATATAATGGCCTATAAAGAAATTAATGTTGAGTAGGAGTTTGAAGAACGTTGGTATATTTGAGAGGCTGACTTTTGGGTCTCTTGGAAGTGGTCTTAAAGCAGTTTATTTGAGTGTCTCAGAGTATTAAGATCAATACTTTGAATGTAACCCAGTATTATCTGGAGTTTTGGGGTTAAGTGTTCTTAGAAGTCAGTACTCACCGAGAGAGATTGTGGATCCTGGGAAACGGGTAGAGATTGATCCGTGTGAGGTCCACAGAGGTGTCTGAAGTGAGATGAGGTGAAAACTTCTGCAGCAGGTGGATTCAACAAAATGTCAAAATAGCTGCCATAAGCTTAATTCTCAAGCTTTTTATTTTAACCCCACTATTTACTGTTGATTCAGATTAACTACAATCAAACTTTTATAACGATAAGTAACTGTCAGCAGCTTCCTCCTGGTCCAAAATGCACACCTTTTATTTTCATGGGATCTCTACATGCATAGCCATTTTTGGGGAAAGCTTGTCCCCACTGCTTGTGCTGTAGAGCCTGGGATTGTTTGTGTTTGACAAGCAATAGCATGCAAAGGTTATTAACCTTTTGGGAAGATAGGAATCTCTCTGACATGCTCTGATTATGTGCTAGGGAAGTGTGTCACCAATGTGTTTAATATAGCAAAACCTACATGTAGAGTCCCTCTCCACAATTCCACCCATGGCTGCAGGTCATTTCTCCTTTCCTGCTTCCTCAGACAGAGAACAGACAGGTTTTTAAAACAGGTGGAATCATGAATGGAAACATGAAATATTCTGACGGTCTTTTGCTTTGGCTGTTGGCTTTTTTCTTCACTGGTGGACTAATGCATTTAAATGTTTTGAATCTTTCTGCTTTGATAGTTAAATTTCACTGGGTTTCCTTTAATGCTGTTGCCGGTAAATTTTTTTTTTGCTTCTTTTATACAAATCATGTGACCCTAGCTAGCTCAGTTGTTCCTGTCCCACAAAGAATGAAAAGACCTTGAAATGAGATTTATCAGATTGTCTGATAAACTGAACAGTTACAAAACTATCCTTTGTTTAAGAAAATTTCCACAGAGTATGCTGGTTAATGCTTCGTATATTTTGAAGAGTAAGTAACTATCAGTAACAGATACCTACCACTAAAACTGTAGTGATTAAAAAAAAAAAGTAAATATGTCCAAACGTGAACCATTTAGAAAATGAGAACAGCTGCAATGGGTCCGACCAAAAGTCCATCTGTCTAGTGGCAGATGCAAAGGGAAAGACTGCATCAAAAAGGACTTGGATAGTATGTCCTTCTCCTTCCTTCAAAGATGCTTCCAGCAAGGTGGGTTTAGGAACTTCTTGAGCCAGAGATGATATCTTTGTGTTTAATAGTCATGGGTGGAGTTTTCTTGCATGTTTGTATCTAATGTATTTTTTAACTCATTTAAATTTTTGGCCTCCATAAATTCTGGTAGGAGTAAATTCTACAGTTGAGTTATGCCCTGTGAGAAAGTACTGCTTTTTGCTTCTTTTAAACCTGATACTTGCTGATTTCATCTGATACCATGTCTGTAACACAACACCACTTGTAAGGAAACTAAGGCAGAGTACTGATGGCAGTGTCACAGACAAGACTGGAATTACCATGGTATGACATCCTGCCCTGTGCTCAGAACATTACTTTGTAATTCAATCCTATAATCCGTGAAATTATACCTTAATTTATCTGCTGTGCAGCAGCATGTCGGATAAAACTGCACTTTAATACTGCTTTGAAGAAAAATGAACAACCTGGTAGTTTATGTAGGTATATCCATGTACAATATTTACATTTTATTTACCGTGGAGGATGGTAGCATGTTGGTTGTCAAACCAGAGAATTGCTGTAATAGTTCAGTCAGCAAAAGGATATTGATCATGTCAAAACGAAGGAGCACAGAAGCAAGCAGAAAGGTCCCTCAGCTTTGTTAAGGACTATAGGGCAGCCCTTAGGACGACTGTCAGACCCATCCTAATTCTGTCACTGCCTGAACTTTGTACTTGTGTGGGCAGATGGTAGCAGTGGAGTCTGGAGAAAGAGCAGCAGCCTCTCTGTCTGAAGATACCTCTGTGGTGTTGAGCCACTGCTGCTGCTTCCTCATGACAGCCCTTCCTCTTCCAGCGTCGCTCCAGGCTTGTCACCCTCAGTAGTGCTGTGAGGAGGAGAAGAGGCTCGGGAAAGGGAGGGGTTGGAAAAAGAGCAACACTAGGAGCATGGGGAATAAGGAGGAAGGAGGCAGCAGCAGAACTTGGCATTAGAGGGGTGAGGAAGCAGCATGGGAAGTGTGTGAAAGAGGAGTTTTGGGGGAAGAAGGGAGAGGAGAAGACAGCAACAAAGAGGTACTGTTTAAAATAAAGCTGGCGTCATCAAGAGAGAAAATGCTGCTGCCCTTACAGAGCTTTTCTTCACATTGTAAGATTAGCCACCCTATGCCTGTTCAGAACTTGAACTCATCCGCATGTTTTGTTGAAATAACTTACCTTCTCATAGGTTGAGACGTATAGGTCCAAGTGAAACTAATGTAAGGGAGAGCTGCAGCTTCTTTCATCTTACAAAGATGTTGCAAGGCATTGCTCTTTCAGAAAACCAATTTAAGCTTACTACCAAATATGTAAGCAGAATTATAGTGTGGATAGTCTGTCAATGGAGTTTTATATTTGTGACTCTAGAAGTATTGCAGTTTTATGGAAGAGACATGAAATATGATTTAAAAGGATAAACTGAACCTATCTGCACAAGTTTCGTCCCTGCTTCTTCCATAGAGGCGTCTTGAACTAGTTGTTAAAAATAGGTTTTTTCCTTTTGTATGAGTGTCTTTTCCTCCTCACTAAGGAGCCTTACTGTAGCCAAGATTTATTCTTTAAGATTAATGTAAAGATAACAATAAATAACCAACTTTTCATAACGGACAAATAATAAAATTTCACTGATAACCTCAGTGTCAGACAGTGACACACTGCTGAAAGCTGAAAACACTTCCTGAAAAAAACCAGAGTTGTATTTTCAACTTGGTTTGTCATTTTCAGCTGTACTCTAGTTGGTTCTTCTAGTCCCTTCCAAATTAAGGACATAAACTTCAGTTAGTAATTTTTGTTATATATAAAATTTAGGTCCTTTTGAATAAAACAACTAAGTAGGCTATTTTTAACCTTGGCACACGAGTTATTTGTCTTCCATATTAAAAGTATAGGCTTTAGCTATTACTTTTTCTTGGATTATCCAGTGAAATAAAACTTTCTAGGTTGCTAGTTATGTCATATATTCATTTATTTTCCATGTTTCTTCCTACCATTTTAATGCAGCCTGCTTTCAGAGAGATTCAAAAGCTTATAAGCAGTAATTGGAGGGGTTTTTTTTGTTGCAAAGGTCTTCCATAAGTGAAAAAAATTTAACACAGGCACAGCATACACTGTGTAGTAGAATCAGAACTGCACAGTTACCTGACACATTGAGTGTTATGCTGCGTTTCAACATGTTGAATGACCAGTTTGACAGTAAGTTTAGGCATGGCAGTATTCCCTTGCTAGTGGTGTGTGCGTGTAGTTTTCCACCCAGTGGAAGTTGCTGAATATCCTTTGTGCTGAATGGTGCCTACAAGGCACAGTTCTGAGCAAAGGGTTGGGGCAGGAAATGCTGAATGGCGTTACGTGTCCCAGAGAAACCCACTGTTTTTTAGGCACTAGGAAGGCCGTCACATCTTCTGGTATAATGGAAGCCTAGCCAAGGCCAGTGTTCTTTCTTTTTCTCTCTGTCACCTCTAGGAAAGAACATGCTCAGGGACATGGGAACTAAGAGACCTCATTTTTCACTCTTTTCCTTGCCATTTTCTGGAGTTGGTCTAGAACTAAGAAGGGCTCCATGCCATGCACATTCACAGGCTGCTACTTTCTGTCTGTTACTCAGGCAGTGAAACAACAAGCACAGTGCTCAGCTGTGGCAAGGAGTCATTAATTTGTTTTAAAGTGTTCTGAGATGAAACTGCTGGGATTGCTGTCACTCACAGGCGACATATGTTTTATTTGCCTATAAAATATCCGTTTGTTTTGGTGTTGGTCAATATGAAATATTTTAATAAAATGGTCGGTCAAACTATCAAAGAAAATAAGAATAATTGTGTTTGACATTACATATCAAACAAAGGAAGCAAACTAGTGGTGTTGTGGGGCTGCATGTGTACATATAAGCATATATAGTTGGCTGTTACACACTTCTGTCCTGTCACCATTAGTCTTGTTCAATCATCTTTCTCTGCTGCTTTCTGGTTTTTGACAACTGTATTTTTGCAGACTGTGGAAGAGATTGAGGGTGTGCTGGGACGTGACCTTTATCCAAATCTATCTGAAGAGAGATCTCGATGGGAAAAGGAGCTAGCTGGCTTGCGGGAAGAGAATGAGAGCCTCACGGCCATGCTGTGTAGCAAAGAGGAGGAGCTGAACAGGACCAAGGCCACCATGAACGCTATTCGTGAAGAAAGAGACAGACTGCGTAGAAGGGTAAGGCTGCTGCATAGATGATGGCTTCTTTTTCCTCCTAGCCTGTATAATTTTGTCAACAGAACAAGCTTCTCTTTAATCTTGCTTCCTGTACTGGCTGTAGGGCTTTTTGTTTTTAAAGCTGAGCTATACAAATTACAGAACTAGGACAAAACTGAACATAATTGA